AAGTAGGCGGCCAGTGCAACTCTGATTAAAAATCCAGTTATAACCACGTGCAGTGCTGATAAGGACCACGTGTTTCTGAGACTCCTTCCCCTTTATTTTCTTCTTTCTAGATATTTCTTTCTTCTGATGAGGAGGGACCTTTAGCTGCCCTCGAAATCGATTGAGTGTTTCAATATATTTACGCTAAATACAAGGTTGTTTTTTCGATTTCAATTATCATATCCAGGTCACAGGCTCGATTCCTAGAGAAGGCATGGCTGTTTGTAAATGTTCTTTTCTTTAGAGGCGTAGAGGCACTAATTCTAAATCGAAATTAGGACAGAACTAGAAGACTCATTTTGTCACCTACGCAGTTAGGAAAATGGTGCTTGTATTTTTTATTAGTGTTATTGTATCCTTTTATTGTAACTGCAATTAGTGCATTTTTTTACTTAACAACTTCGTGTATTTCTGTTTTTTAAACTGCGTCACTGATACATTTAATATGCTATTAATTGTACTGCATTAGTTTGCATCTCTTAATCTAGATTTAATTAACTTAATCTGCATCTCTTAATGTAAATTTAATGCTCATTATTTTAATATTGCGTAATATTTTAACGCGTATTTTTAATAGGTATTCATTTTATTAATTGATTATATAAATTAAATAGCATAAAATCATATTGAAAAATCTAGTGAATTAGTTTATTCAGATATTGCAAACTGAGGTAATGGTTACAGCCGAAAACATTGCGGCTGCAAGTAAAAATTATCCTTCTTTCTACAAATTATCAAAATCACAAATTATTCTGCGAGTATCATTTCGCAATTATTAAAGCCTGAAAAACGCATGTCCGCGGTGTTATCGTCATGCGATGATCTACAGGTACTTTATTTTTTACCACTATTTTCGACGATGAAGTTTTTAAACTGAGAAGTTTTTGAACCGCTTTTTTTTTTTTTTTTTTTTGACGACTATATTTTGTACCGCGATGTTTTAGAACTGCGATGCTTTCTCTTTGCTTTATTTTCTCCCATGATGTTTTCTGCTACGACGTTTAAGCCTTGCGTTGTTTTCTCCGCGACGTTTTCGTGCGCAATGTTTTCGGCGGTCAACGAGGTAATACCTTATACAGCGTATGTAAATGTATGAAGAGTATTCGGTATTTATAATTGTTAACTGGAGCAAATTGAAATTGGCATAGTATTTGAACCTTTGTATGAAACATGTGAAAATATTAGTATTCAAGAAGTAAGTATTCAAGAATAATTTGAATATTGTACATTTGAGTAATGAAATTCTTTAAAGTTTTAAATAACTTACAGAGTCTTGTTCTATTGGATAGCACAAACCAACGATCTCTGAAAGAGTGTATGAGGATTTATCCCCAGGTTTTTAGCACAACAGAAAAGTCACAAGAAGAGCGTAAAGAACCCTTCATTCAATCAAATATATTTGCACAGATGGCCTCACTTGGGATTACATAAAACCAACTCTTCTAGTTTAACTCAAACAGGTAACGTTGAATTCATATGTATTCAATTTAGCCTAACGGCTCACAAGATAATTTACCACGCACTGACTCGTAGAAGCCGGCGGAAACAAGCTTAATGGCTAGAAAGCATTCAACTCCACAGAATCAAATCGCCAGTAATTCAAAATAACAATGTGTCTTTCAAGCAGGTATAATGCGCTCTAAAATAACATTCCAAAACCTTCCGTTATATAGCACGTCTTTCTACCTTAATTTGGATGTACGCGTGCTAGCTGAATAGCATTCTGGCAGGAAAATGTAGGTGAAACCCAGATTAAAAGAAAAGTCGTTTTAACTAAGAATTAATTGTTACTCAAACTAAATAAATCGCCACAAACTATATAATTATACAACAATGTAATCTGGACAACCGTGTATGTCTATATACATCTGTATAAATTTGTAATGTTTCCAACTGCTATACACTAAATAATGGCGTTGTAGGTCCATGTAAAATCTTTTCAATTTAAATAAACAAATGCTTTCTGAAGTGGCCATCCACCTCACACAGGGATTTGGCGGTTACCAGATACAATTATCAGAAACAGCTAAAAATTATCTTAGGTTCACATCCGTGGTCATATGTTATCTTCATGATGCATTTCTATTATTTCTACTACTATCACTGTCACTTCTTTCATACCGCCAAACAGCAGGTTTGGACAGGATGGCCCTTTGGCTCTTGGACAGGATAAAATTCGTAGATCTGAGAGGAATGAGGTTTAAATCAGGAGTATTGGTAGAAGTAAAATTTCATGAAAATGTGTAATTCTGCTATCATAAAACTAAATTTTGTAATTCAAAAAGTAAGTGCGCACAAAATACCTATAAAAATGTGTATATTTCTTTATACTTCTCTCTCTCTATATATATATATAAAGAAATTACCACACAATTATGGTGTTGTAGAAATTAGCTTATGTATAAAATGAAACATCGCATGTGTAATTTTGGTATAGGAAAATTACATTCAATATGACGTATGATCTCCCCTAGAAGCAATACAAAACATATAGCGATGTGAATGCTGTCAATTATGCAATTTACGTTCTGTAGGAAGTGAGAGCCATTGCTTTTGCAAAGCAGTAGCAAATGTCTGAAGAAGAGGACAGATATACGTCTTCCTAAAGCATCTCAAACATGCTCAATAGGATTCAGGTCTGGTGATCGAGCTGGCCACGCCATGCGATGAATCTTTTGCTGCTTAAGATAATCATCCACGATGCGAGCACTGTGCGGTCTAGCGTTGTCGTCCTATAGCAAGAAATTATCACTAATTGGTCCGTCATAAGGGCACACATAAGCATCAAGCATGTCATCTCTATAGGCCTGGGCATTCATGGTTCCACGTGGAAAACATGGTGGTCTGTGATAGATAGTGTCCAAAAAGATAATACTCCAAACACAGACACTGTCTTCTCCGTATGCTTCTCTTTCAGGGATGTGTGATGCATGATAACGGGTTTCAGGTTCTCTCCAAATCAAATATCGCCTGCTATAGCCTTGGAACAGAAGTATAAAGACTAGGTGCTTTCATTAGGCATTCCTTTAATTTATCGAATGCTTCGTCGTGTTTTTCTGTCCAGCACAGCTATTCAGGACTTCTTCTTTTGGTGAGCTCGGTTAATGGATAAAGTGTTTCGGCGTAACGTGGAATGTAATCTCTGTAATAATTACATAGGCCTAGAATGCTTTTCAATTGTTTGTTTCTTTGTTTGAGTTCTAGCTAATTTCTGGATAGCCTCCACTTTCTCTGGATCAGTACGATGACTGAAGGAACCGATGATATGTCCTAGATACTTAATGTGAGTTTTAGCAAATGAACATTTCTTGAGATTTACGGAAAACTTTAGTTCTAACAGTTTTGAAAAAATGGTGCCAAGATGTACTAAATGTTCATTCCAACTATTTGAATAAACTGCTACGTCATCGACGTAGGCTCGAGCAAAATCTTTATATTTAGCAAGAGCCTGGTTCATCACTCTCTGAAATGTTGCAGCGGCGTTGCGTAGCCCGAAAGGCATGACTTTAAATAGATACTGAGCCCGATGTATCTTGAAACATGCTAATTTTTGACTTTCACTTTCTAATGGTATGGCCCAATAGCCTTTGAGTGTGGAATAAGAGCTCTTTAGGATTTTCCATAGGGAAGTCATTTGGTTTCGTTACTGCATTTGTAGAGTCATTAGGATTTTTTTAGAGGCAGAAAAGATGAAAAATAGCAAACGCCTTCGCCGGGAATCGAACCACAGACCTCTGGAATACCGACTCAGCGGGCAGAACCACTACACCCACGAAGGACGCTAGGAAAAGTGGGAGAATACCTTAATAACTCCCCTTTTTAAAAGGCGACTAGGGTTTTAGGGGACCTAGTCGCCAAATCCTGGGTGCGGTGAATCATCATCCACAACCCTTTTAGTTCGGGCGCCACTTGTAGAGTCATTAGGATTTTTTTTAGAGGTAGAAAAGATGAAAAATAACGAACGTCTTCACCGTGAATTGAACCACGTACCTCTGGAATATCGGCCCAGCGTGCAGAACCACTACACCACGAAAGACGCTAGGAAAGTGGCAGAAATACCTTATACATTAAGGGATCTAAAGTCAACGCAAAGGCGAAGATTACCGTCTTTCTTCATAACGCATACAATAGGGTACAAAATTTCAGCGTTGGTTTCTTCAAAATCAATCCCAATGACAACATTTCTTCGATTTGTTTGTCTACTTGCGGCTTCAATGCTTCTGGGATTCGATAAACATATGGCTTCTTTCTTTCAGTGTCATTTAATCTTATTTTATGTTCTCCTACTTTAGCAATTTGTACCTTATTCATAAATAAGTTGTCATATTTTCTTAAAAAGTTCATCATGTCATTCCTTTTATCATCATCTAAATGGCTTAAGTCTACTTCGCTACGATGAAAATGATTGGACTTGGCACTCACACTGGGTATGGGATGGATATCACACTAGTTCTTCGTTCTCAAATATTACACCTACTGCCTGTACTTTTGGATTAAATTTTCTAATTTTATTTACGTGTACTCTTCTTATTGTACCAGCTGCCAGTTTGACTCTGTAAGAATCTGGATTACAACGAGATAATATTTCTGCGGGTCCTGTCCATCTGGCATATAATTTATAGCTGAAATCTGGAATCAGCAGGTATACGTGATCTCCAGGATTGAATTCTTTATATATAGCCCTTCGATTAGCATATCTTGCATATGCACCTTTTTTTCAATTCTGCTATTATAGATGCTTGCTCTGCTGCTATTTCTAAATTCATTTTTAGCTCCTGTAGATAATCAACAACGCTTTTACCCAATTTTATTGGTAACGGAATTTCTCCTGACCATGAAGATTTTAATACTGACAACGGACCTCTGGCCTCTCTTCCATACATTAATTTAAATGGAGATACTCTCGTAATAAAATTTGGGATTTCGCGGTAAGAGAATAACAGGTATGGTATGTGTTTGTCCTAATTTTTAGAGCCGTTTCTAACGATATGATGAAGCATACGTTTTAGAACTTGGTTGTACCATTCAACTAATCCCGAACTTTGTGGATGTCCTGGTGTTGCAAATCTAGGACTTGCTCCTAATCTGGCATAAAGTTCTTGTGTTAATTCTGCAACAAAATTGGTACCTTGATCGCTAGCTCTTACCCGAGGTATGTCCGTTCTCATAAAGATTTCTAATAATGAGGCGCATGTTGATTTTGCTGTAATTGTTCTCAAAGGGACAGCTTCTGGCCATCTAGAATGTAGATCGACTAAACATAGTACATATTTGTGTTTACGTGCTGATGGAGGTTCAATTCGACAGATTATATCTACACTCACTGTGTCAAATGGAAATTCAGGTCTCTGAACTGGAACTATGAGTATACGATCGCTGGTTCTCAACATTGTAATTGACATTCCTTACAAGTTTTACAGTATTCTTCAATAACTCGTGACATGTTCGGTCAATAAAATGAATAACGAATCCTTTCTTTTGTTTTTCTCATCCCTAAATGATTTTCAAAAATAGATTCGTGAGCTAATTTTAAAATTTGTTCCCTTCTAACTTTAGGCAATACCAACTGACTAACTTGTTCTCCAGAAATTTTTTCGTTATGGTAAATCAAATCATCCATAAAAAATATTTATTTTTATTTCTTTGCGCGTCTTTATAGATATTGCGTAATGTCTCCCATTCACTTTGCTGCTGTTTAAAAATACTGGCATCTCAATGTTGACCTACATTTAATTTATCCTTTCTTTTGTTTTCACGCTGAGCGCAAATTATGACTAAATTTTACTCTCCTCCTGTCATAAATAAATCAGCGTGTCTTTCGCCTTCGAATTGTTTTGACTGATGACTTCTCAATTCCGCTATCTGCGATGGAGACACCGTGTCGCAATCACGATTCGCCCTAAGCAGATGTGATTCAGAGGTCTATAAATCATAAACATTTGGAGTAATTACGCAGGGAATATGAAGTTTTTCTGCTAAAGCTACTAATTTTTGGACAGGTTTCAATAAATTAGGGTTATCGGCATTTCTGATGGATATAGGAATTCTAACCACTTTAGCTGAGATGGTTTCTCCGAATGCGGAAATTAATTCAATATTACAGTTGTTCTCAATAGAGATATTTGATATGTGTTTCGGATTTATAACAGAAATCTCGACCTCCGACTCAATTATGGCTTGGATTGCGTTACCTGCAACGCAAATACTATTTACGTTTTGCAATGGTTGCGTAAAAAGTTTATCTGACAAGCATGAAGATCCGATTTTTGTTATTACTTTATCACTAGTATTTTTCTCTGGTGTTTCCTTTTTGAAAGGAGGGTTTGTGTTACCGATTTGTTTCTTTGTGGACAAGCTTTAGCGAGATGCGTTAATTTTCCACATATGTAACAGTCTTTGGGTGGATATTTATTTTTATTTATGTTGCTTCTCATATAAGACGGATATATTTCGATTCTCTTGAAGAGTGGGACGACTTAGCTATGTTTTCGTTAATGTTAAATGTGGTTTAGTTTAACGATTTGCCTTTGTTTACAAAATATAAGTCAACTTCTTTAGCTAAATCCTTAGGTTTTAACCAATTTTCTCCTGTTTTAATGTTATTGTAAGTTACCGTTTCTCTATCTAACGTTTGCAAAAGTTTGTCGGAAATCATTAGTTGACAAAGTGTATCAAAGTCATTAACTTCGCGTAATTCACAGTAATACTGGAAATTTGCAGACAGTCTAGTGCGAACTGAACATGTGACTCTTTAGGATCGCGTCGTGATCTTCGAAAATTCATTAAACATTCATAAGCAGTTGGTTGATATTCTCTTAATAATAATTTTTTAATGGTTTCATAACATTTTAGTTCTTCATCATTAGTGTAAAATAATACATTGGTTGCCTTATCCCCTAAATCAAAATTTCGGATTTGAGCTCCTGTGGTACATTTTTAGTTATGAATGCTCTCTCTAATGTTTGAAAAAACAAATTGAAGTTTTCTGATCTTCCTGGAACAGGAATAGTTAACGCTTTAACACTCTTTATCAAATTTTCCAAATAATTTCCCGAACTTGTAATCATGTCGATATCTGTGCGAGATCCATCTTTAACAGTGTTCTGACTTCTAACTTTTTCCATATCTAATTCTTTCTCTAGCTGCGCTAATTTTAATTTCTCAAGTTCACCGTTTTGAGCTTCTAAGGCTAACTGTGCATCACTAGCTTTTATTTCATTTTCAATTTTTTGATCTTTTAAGGCTAACTGTGTATCCCTAGCTTTTATTTAATTTTATTCTCTAATTTTTCTTTTCTAAACTATTGAGTTTAATAATCCAATTACAAATTCGGGATCATCTTTAAATATTTTACTGTCCTCAATTTTACCTTTTAATTGGACCACTGATAAACCAAAAGTTTGTGTATCTTCAATTTCACCAAGAAGGTTTACTAAATCTTCTTTCTTAGTATTCTTATACATTTTAAATTTATATATCTCATACATATATATATATATATATCTTCAGTACATCTATACTTTAAGTAAAATAAAATCAAAAGCTTTCTACCTGCTTCTCTTGAAGTTTCTATACCGTCATCTAAAGCTCTGGTTCGAGTGAGAGATCGTATAATATCACCCCTTTCTTCATCCTCCGCCTCATAGTAAAATAATTCCAACCTTTTGTATTTTGAACATTTATTGCACAAACACAAAACTAGTACTATAACTGAAATATATAAAGTAATACAAGTTAATTTCGGTTTCATTAATGGCTTCCACGAGCCTTCCCTATAACCTATCTGTCTGTCTCCCTCTTGGAAACTAAACTTTTGGCGCCTTCAGATTGAGAGTTAGCGCCCTCTATATATCTTGTTGGTTGGCGTCACCCATGCATCACATATTCCTTGCTCTTGAGTTGATGCTTGAGAACAGGGTAGTTGAATAGGGTTGTGAAATGTTTTGAATGTCGTTCTTGTTGTTATTGACAGCCTATTTTGAGAGTCAGGTAATACTGCATTTTGTCGCATGTTTTCCGGCCTTTTTGGCTAATTTTATAATACGAAAATCTAAAGAGGAAAGTTATGCGAACAATTTCATTTCCGAAGGATACCGTTAGAGTAAGAGCATAACAAATGAAATGTATTCATGGATAAACTACCGGTAACTATGATAATACTATTTAATTTAAAGAAACTTACATTCCAATCAAAATGAATAGTAATATTAGAATTACAATATCTGATAAGATATCTTGATTTTTACTTCCCTGTACATTGAATCTCGCTGATTCTTTTCGTTATCTACAATCCTTATTGTTGTTTTCAAATCATTCAGTTCTGCTAATACTGTGCCGTCTGCTAGAGTTTGCAAATCGTAGACATTGTCATCGTTGTCATTTGCCTTTGTCACTAATCAGTCTGTCTTTCTCGTGCAATGACTTAAATAACTCGGAATAATCAAGATTATTAGAAATCTGTGTTAGAAGCTTTTCCCTATAACTGCTCCATCACTCAGAGCTCATATATCTAAAATCCATGAGCAGATCCATTAGTAAAACGAAAACAAACATAACGTAGACGAATTCATTTTAAAATTTATGGAGCTCACTTTTTGATGTCTTGGAAGAAGGAGAAAATTACGTGAATATTTAAAAAAACTTCATACCATAGCGCTAATGATATAGGGATAAAAATACTTGAATAAATACAGTATATATTTAGATAAATAAAAATGCATCGAACGTATAGAACATCTTCAGCTTTGAGCAATATAAAAAAATGAAGAAATAACTAATGACATCATTAAACATAGCGTTAAAGACTAAAAAACTATTTTTTATTTAATTTTAGTGTAACTATAATTATATGTTATGTTCAAAATTCATCATATGCTCTATATGTAGCATTAGAGAACCCATTCCTTTTGAATGACGTGGGCATAATAATCATTTCAACACACTGACTGAGAGGATTTTTTCCCCCAACTAGACTGTGATCGGCTCCCAGTACTGATTTCTTTTTTTAGAAGACCGTGATCAAACTGAGTGCTTTTAAGCCAAAGAAAAAGGGCAAAGAGATAAAGGAAAGTTGCAGAATGAGAACAGAATCCTTTCACGAGAGATACGTGCCTTTACGCAAAATTTAAGATCAGATCATTGCATGATGAGACTTGCAATTTTTTTCTCGACTTAAACCTAGAACATGAGACAAGAAAGCTCCTTTTTGCATTTGATAGTGAATTATTTTGGAAGTCATTTGCCTGGGATATAAAGGCTTTTCTGTCATAGAGTGTTTATGTAAAAATTGGAAAGCATCTAAAGACAACCTAATATGGATGCTCATTTTATTACAGAAAGGTATATCTAAGTCTGATCTTTTTCTTATTTACCCAAATTATGGCTTAGGTGTTAATTATTTTATTACTTTTTCACGACATGATACTAAAACTGTTATACAAGAATTGGCACATTTGCTAATTTGAAAACTTTGTGTGTTTCTTCACTATATTAAGTTTAACATCATAAACAGAACTTTTCTCGTTTGGAAGGCACATCAGAGAACTTAATTCTAAAATTAAAACTAATTTATTATTGCAACCAAATTGAATTTTGATATAAGAATGTGACATCGTATTTTATTTTAAATTTTTATAATATTTTTAATCTTTCCAATGCATAAACATGACTTTAGAAACTTGTTTTTAGGCAATATGATACAAATAAAATACAGAACAAAGGATTACAAATAAAATTCGATAGCAAAACCAGAATTCAGACTTAAAACCTTAGGAAAAAAATTTAAATACTTTGAAAATAGTCTCATGTTATTTCGAGCCTAGCAATAGCATTTAAATAGAGAATTTTCTATTAGAGAAGAAGAAAGAAGAAGGTGAGAGCCGTCATTTTTTGTAGAGAGATAAACAGCAGCTTACAATTTCATGAAAGGTGTTTTTATACCGACTGGATTATTTTGATGCATGCTATTGTTCGTTCTGTTGCATGAACTTATTCAACTTACTGTCTTAAAATCCTTGTTATTCTCTTAAATTTTATTTTCTCTTGAAATACTCTAAAATCGTTTAGTACAGCGGTCGCCAGCCGGTGTTCCGTGAAAACGTTTTGATGGTCCGCAGAAAAATTGGGACATTATTTATATTTTTATGAAGATTCAGTTAAAAAATGACGAGTAATTATGGAATTTGGATTATACACTTTTTTTTTTTTAATTTTAGCTACTACTTTTAGCGAAATTACTTCTGAATTTAGCGACTTTTTAACTACTTTCGCAGGTGTATCTAGCGACATTTGAAAGTGAGAGTTGGCATGGCATCCATAGATATGCAGCTGTTATCAATAATAGCGCCAACTGGAATTCTCTTTCCTTTTGAATTACAAACATACGCTGTTT